ATATATATTATATCAAATAAAATATTATAATATATAATAATGTGATGCTAATAAATTAGTCCCAATTATGGGGTCGGCCACAGATAAAGAGTAAGAAGAGGAAGAACGAGATCCCCCCCATCACCTCCGAGCAGGTAGCATCCCACCCCCACCCTTTCACATTCACATATCATTAGAAACACCTTCTCATGCATTCCATGCGTTACACACGGTCACGGTGCCATTGTACACGTTTAATTACATATATAAAAATAGTTCTGTTAGATATTTACTGCAATAATACTGTATATACATAATTTAGATATTTAATTTCTATACATTCTTCCTTGTTTTTTTTTTTACAATGTATACATGAATGACACTTTGCAATGCTGTACACGTATGTGCGTGTTTTATGTAAGCGTTTACAGGAAGTTATGTGGGTGACAATCATTTCACTTCACTCGCTGTACTTCCCTTTTATTCTACTACCTGTCAGCAATGGAGATTATGGACTATGAGAGCGCTGCTTACATACAATCCAACGTACAAAACACCTCTGTGCTGTATGAAACCTGATCATATAAACTTGAATACAAAGTGTAAAGTGTACCTGTCACTTATAATCAATGGAGGAAAGCTTTTTCAAGGGTGAGTCCGCTTAAAACTGAGGACTGAGACTCCAGCAAAGCGACAAACTGGGATAAAGGTGAAGACATCTTGCAACTAAGGTTGCCTAATGAAAGCGACTCGGTGACCTATCACCCCTCCTCCAAATATCAGCTTTGGTTCAACTGACAGTCCATTGGCCCCCATTCACATTAGTGACGCGTGGCATGGCATGGCGCATTTGTCGCACATTGGGCAGCCCACTCATTTCAATGGGCTGTCCTATGCACCATGAACGTGGAAAAGAAGCTCATGCATCGCTTTGAGCTTTCATCGTTTCTTGCTTGCTTTTTTTGGCGCAATACACGTATCTTGCGTGGTGCATTTGGGGTGCAATTAACAATAAATGGCACCGCAAGTGCGACATTCGTTTATCTCGCAAATTCATGCAGCGTTGCGCACGTGCACGTGCTGCACTAGTGTGAATACGGGCTTAGGAACTACCATCATCACTGTGGCACAAGGTGCTTTAAGGGGTCATTAGTTCCTTTTGGAATGGCTGGCCAATCTGATTGTACAATCTCCTTTAGGCCTCATTCACACTAGAAAAAGCTGGCACGTACAGCTCCGTGCTGCATGCAGGGCCGTATCGGGCAGCTCCCGGAGCAGCTCACAGACCACCAGTGACTAGGATGGTGGCACCCGGGGCTACCACTAGAACTCCCATGATCAGGTCAACGCAAGCCGAGGAGGTGTGGAAGACGTTGGT